GTAACAATATCTGAATTGTGGCAAAAGTGTGAAGGTGTTAATATGAAGCTTTCCGATTCTAACGATGCCCCTAAGCTATTTGCTGCAAATCTAGATAAATTGTCACGCTGATGCTGAAAATGCTTCAGACTTGGTCACTTGCATGTCCGCAGTAATGCGCGCATTGTGTATGGTGCTTGATTCTCAAGTCAAGCAGCGTTCCCGTGGTAATTGTGATGGTATCCGAGGAGATGTTGATCGCCTACTTAGTATACTTGTAAAAATTGGCGTGTTTCAGAAATTGCTACTCGTTAATTGATTGTTTAAAAACCAAAGTCTGACTGAACTAGTAGCTTTGCCGCTTGTGAACATGGAATGATATAACGAAGGTAGTAGTATGATAACATCCGATTTCACAGCAGTTCGCAAATCAGCAAAACGATGGTAAGAAATCGTCACGGCGCATAACGAAGGAGGAGAAGAAGATTCACCTTGTGGATGCGGAGGAGTCGAAGGCGGACGTCGCGGGAACTCGCTGGAGACAAATGTGCAAGTAGAGGAGAGCGGTGGCGTGCCACACAAGCAGGCGGGCGAATGGACGGTTTCATGAGAGGCTCGAGATCGCCGCCGCCGCAGGCTGCGCCGGAGCTCCGTCGGCCGGTGATAGGGAGGCAGAGGAAGGGGACCTAACCTCGAGCCCCGGGCCTGTAGTGGCCCCCCGGTGCAGGATTAGCTCGCCGGGGAATTCCCTCAAAAAAAATCAAGTGCTGCGAAAATGAGAAAAAAAATGTATTTACTATAGGAACATAACGTGCATTTAAAATAATCCACCAAAGTGAGATGTATTATTAGAAAATGTTAAAAATGAGATGCAAAAAATTGGTGCTAGTGAAACTTCCGATTTTTTTGTGTAACTTTTAATTTATATCTTGTGGCCGGTGAGTAGCGAGCCGGCAGCAAGTGCTCCACAGGTGACGGCTCCGCACCGACATCAAGGAGAGGAAGGAGGCGGCCAAAGAGGATAGCGCCACCGCCCAGCGCCGCATCCTCCGGCGAACGCGACCCTCCATCCCCGTCGTGTAGACACCACCGAGATGGCCAGGTCGGAAGGGAGGGCGTTGTAGTGAGGTGGCGTCGTGGACGGCAGGAGGAGGGGATGACCGATGGAAGAGGACGGGATAGAGGCGGAAAACCCTATTTGCCGCTCTTTACGACAAGTTGTCGCTCTTTCGCAGAAGCGAGCGAGCAACCGTTCGGGGGTGGGCCGGCCCGTTTCAGGTTGCAGCTATACCGGTTTTCTGGAACCTTCCACGATGTTTCTAGTAGGTTTTTTAGGGTTTTGGGGATGTTCTCGAAGGTTCCTGCACCGGTTTTTTCTTTTTCAGTTTCTATTTCGTTTTTACTTTTCGTTTTTCTCTTATTTTTCATTTTTTTCTTTTCCTTTTTCTGTTTCTTTTTTATTTTCTTGCTTTTCTATTTTCTTTGAATTTTTCATTATTTCTTTTTCAAAATTATTTTCTTTTTTCAACCATTGTTCTGGAATTTAAAATATGTTCTAATTTTTCATGTTTTTATCACATTTTTTTGGAAAATATATCTGTTTTCAAATATTGTTCAGAAATTCTAAAACTTTTAGAATTTTAAAATTTGTGTGCTGCTTTTAAAAATGTTCTAAAATTCAGAAAATATTAGAATTTCAACAAATGTTCGCTTGTTAAAATTTTGTTCACAAACTAAAAAGTTTGATGATTTCAAAACTTTTCCCCATTTTATAAAATTTGTACACACATTCATATAAATTTTCATGTTTCAAAATTTGTTCACAAAGCGAAAAAATGTTCGCATTTATAAAATTTTTCACAGATTAAAATGTTCCCTTTTTTCAAGTTTGTTCACAAATTCAACCAGTGTTATGTTTTAGAAATTTGTTCACAACTTCAAAAAATTGTTCCCCGATTAAAAAAAACCAGGGGCAATTTCGATTTTTTTTTCATTTTGTAAAAATTATTCGTAATTCCAAAAAGACGTTCATGTTTTTTACTTTTGTTAATTTTTCGAAAAATGTTTACAAAAGTTTGTTTGGAAATTTCACGAACTGGTTTTAAGTTTTGTCGCCGCTGTTAGTTTTTTTAATTTCTACTTTGTTATTCTTTCACTTGGGTGAGCCGGTCGCGGTGGCTAGCATGGTGTTTGCATGAACTGTTTTTGCCGTTTTTTATCCTGCGAAGTAAAGCCACCACAAAATGGGCTCGCGGCTAAGGTCGTGGAGACGCCGCGTCGGTTTGTCTGGCAGCCGCACGATAGGCCCAAACACAACGAAATACCGACTCACACATAGGCCCACCACCGCTGCCCAACACTCTCGACGCACCTCAGGCCAGGATTCCTTGGGAGCTTAGAAACTGTACAGGTACGCATTAATTATATAGTTAAGGCGAACGCTCTACTCCATCTGCTTCGCCCCACGTTCCACTTTCTCTCCTGGGAAAGGCGATTTGGGCGGCGACCCTTCTGCCCGCATCTTCGTCAACGTGGCCGTGGGTCCTTTGCTTCTCTAGCAGTCGCTCCGATGACGGGAGGGGGAGGGGACCCCGTCGCTGTTGCTCCGACGAGTAGTTAGTATGGGCTTAGTCTTTTGCAGAGGTGTCGCATCGGCGGCGGGATCGACGCCGCGTCAGAATAAATTGGCCCCGTTTCTTTCCCACTCGGCCTTCTTCCAATCGATGATGCTAGGAAGAAGGTAGCCTCTTCTTCTCACCAGGCTCCGAATCTGGCGATTTTAGGTTGTGTAGGCTGGTGTTACTCGTCACCCATGGGGACGGTGGCGGCCATGACAGAGTGTGTGTGGAGGATTTCAAGCAGGATCTGCGGATAGCAGTGTGCAACGACACCCATCTTCACCGATCACATAGGTTGAAGTCAAACGACATCCGGACCAGGTGGACATGAGGATGATCCTCGGCCGACGCGCCACAAAGACTCGGCTCTGTCGTCGTGTGCGGCAGGTCGTTTCATCGGCTCAGAAAGCAGCTTAGTTTGCGATGGTAATCTTCCCGATCCAGGTGTGGTGGTAGTTTTCATCTCTCTCCGGCAAAGCTACGGCGGCAACGGAGTCCGTTTGGAGACGACGGTTAGGCAAGGCGCATGGTCTCCATTGATTGTGTTGTTACATTTCTTGATTTGGAATCCTTTGTGCAAATCTTCAGGTCTTATGTCTCTTCGTTTTTTAAGGGTGTCTACATATGTAATCTGTGCATCAAATTTGTTCAATGAATACGCAGTGCTGTTTAAACAAAGGGGTTGTTTGGTTTCTAGCCACACTTTGCCATATCTAACCGTAGGCAAGTTTGACCAAGTTAGGTAGGTGTTTGGTTCTAGCCACACCTAATGCCAAAGATTGCCACACGTAAGGTTAGACAAGTTTCACTAACTTAGGTGAGTATTTGGTTCAAGCCACACATTAGACAAGCCACACTAAGGCCCCACATGACATACACGCAAAAAATGTGGCAAGATTTCCGAGAAATGCTACACACACGGAGGGTTTACTTTGGGTTTAGGAGGGGGGGGTTAGGATATGATTGGCTTAGATT